ATTACATTTGGGGATCCCCGCCTTTTTACGGCTTTTTCTTTCTTTCTTCTGCTCTTGCCTGAGGTTTAAGGGCTGAGCCTTAGCTGAACCACCTGAGCTTTGTGGGGAGAATCAGAGTAGACACTCAGAGCAGGTCAGCTCTGTAGAAAGACTCAAGTTTCCCGAGAAAAGAAAACAACCAGAGCAAGCTAGCAGGAGAGTTTCACTGCCTCTTCTCTTCCACCTTTGCACTACTGCTGAGGAGCAGGTCCTCTCCTGCTATTCCTCCCAGCCTCTCCCTCTTGAGCTCTTCTACTCTGATTCTCCACCGCCTTGTGTCTTGACCCCTTTCTCTTCATTTCCTTTGCTCCATTCCTGTGTCAATAGGCTCCCTGGCTCCATCTTCCTTCCTCCTCTCAGCCTCACTCTCCTCCTCCCTCCATCTTCAAAATCCTTTACTTAGGTGAGCATAGAAAGCAGAGACATCACCTTGCCAACAAAGGTCCATATAGTTAAAGCCATGGTTTCCCCACTAGGGATGTATGGAAGTGAAAGCTGGACCATAAAGAAGGCTGGTCGCCGAAGAATCGATGCTTTTGAATTATGGTGCTGGAGGAGACTCTTGAGAGTCCCATGGACTGCAAGAAGATCAAACCGATCCATTCTGAAGGAAATCAGCCCTGAGTGCTCACTGGAAGGACAGATCGTGAAGCTGAGGCTCCAATACTTTGGCCACCTCCTGAGAAGAGAAGACTCCCTGGAAAAGACCCTGATGTTGGGAAAGATGGAGGGGACAAGGAGAAGGGGACAACAGAGGACGAGATGGCTGGACAGTGTTCTCGATGCTACCAGCATGAGTTTGACCAAACTGCGGGAGGCAGTGGAAGACAGGAGTGCCTGGCGTGCTCTGGTCCATGGGGTCACGAAGAGTTGGACACAACTAAACGACTAAACAACAACAGACAGAGACAGCAGGGAGAGTCCTGCAAGCATCACAGCATGGGCTCGCACTGGGGAATGGTGACTTACAGCTGTACCAAGCATGATGTTAGCCAAAGTTAAGGCCTCAAAATGAATTTGAATTTGCCACCTGGAGCCCATGTAATAGGTCAGGATGTAAATATAACAAACGAGTTTGTTTCTCTTGTATTGGTTGATTAGGAGATATTCTCATGCAATCCTGGATGTCACTTCAGCGATGCAACCCAGATGAGAAATAGGTCTTTGACAGGGATTTTAGAATAGGCGTGTTGTGGTAAAAGCTAAACATTTCTGTGATGTTATATGGTCAACCTTCATTTGATCTTGGAGTATTGCTTTTAGTCCAGTGAAACTTTTCATGAGTCTGTTAAACCCTCTGGCGTGTTCAAGAATTAAGCGGGGGAAATGGGTGTTCTGTTTCTCTTTTAAATTAAAATGGTTATACGTACTGAAGAATCTGACGCTCATTTAACTTAATCTCACAGCTGCACCAATCCTGCATGTGTGTAGAACTTTAATCCAAGAACAGGAAATGTGTGGAGCAAAGCTGATGAAAGTGAAAGGAGATTCAAATTATACACGTTCAGCGCCATTTTTACTGAGTCATCATAGGCGGTGTTACGTTACAGTACTTCCCTCGAGATAATGTTTTTATCTTGGTATTCTGGTTTTTCAGGTATACGTCCAACTATGTTTATAGTCAAGAACATTGCAGTTGCTCTGTATGTTTAATACCGATGAACAGAACAGCTACTAGTTAAACAATGGAGGAGCCTTTAAGTGCCACCCCCTGTCAAATATTGCAAGCCCTGTGCCTCTAATTCACATCGCTGAATTCTTCCAAACAGTTGTGGTGTGGAAAGATGATCATATACAAAAAGCTTAACATGAGTCCTTGCTTCCTGTGGCCATGGACCTAGAGAACAGAGGAGAACAGAGTTGGCTTGCAGGAAGATCCTAGACTGGTTCCATGAAGCTGTATATTTTCACTTAGAATGCCTTCAAGAACATCCATCTGTGGTCTGAACCACTGAGCTTCTTGGGCTTGCTGATCGGAAGGTCGGTGGTTCGAATCCCCGCGATGGGGTGAGCTCCCATTGCTCTGTTCCAGCTCCTGCCAACCTAGCAGTTTGAAAGCAAACTAGTGCAAGTAGATAGATAGGTACCGCTCTGGCGGGATGGTAAATGGCGTTTCCGTGTGCTCTGGTTTCTGTCATGGTTTCGCCAGAAGCGGTTTAGTCACGCTGGCCACATGACCCGGAAAGCTGTCTGTGAACAAACGCCGGCTCCCTTGGCCTGAAAGCGAGATGAGCGCTGCAACCCCATAGTCAGCTTTGACTGGACTTTACCAGTCTTTTACCTTTTACCTTTACCTATATATCTGTAGCCAGATAATCTGACTTTCTGTACTCAAGAGTTTAATCCACATGGACACATGGTTTATATACATTATATAAAAAAGGTCAAAAGACCCACGAGCATATTGGCCAAAAGATGGTTTGGATGCAAACTGATTTAAAAAGTACTGTATGTATTTAAAGAATGGATTATCACTTGGTACATGTTTGGCTCTCCACGTCTCTCTTCTCCCCCCCCTTTTTGCATACAAATGAAACAGTTAATATTACCAGCTGTGGGGTGTATGTGTGTGTGTCCAGTTATAAACATGAATTTAGCTAGGCTCTGTTGGCAAACCCTACTATAAGAAATATGAATTTAGCTGGTTTCAAAATATGTAATATAGTTGTACCTTGGATTAAGAACTTAATTCGTTCTGGAGGTCCGTTCTTAACCTGAAATTGTTCTTAACCTGAGGTACCACTTTAGGTAATGGGGCCTCCCGCTGCTGCCGCACCACCGCCACGCAATTTCTGTTCCCATCCTGAAGCAAAGTTCTTACCCCGAGGTACTATTTTTGAGTTAGTGGAGTCTGTAACCGGAAACGTCTGTAACCCAAGGTACCACACTGTGTGTGTGTGTGTGTGTGTGTGTGTGTGTATTCACAGATAATTTGCTGTTTTAAAATCAAAGTTTAAGTCTTTGAATTTTATCCAGTTTTATCTGACTTCTAGAGCAGATTACTTCAACTGTGAAAGTGCGGTTCAAATACTTCCAAGATGCCTAATCATCATTTTAAATTCCAAATAAACAGAAAGTAGAATTGTTCCAACAATATTTTTCCCTCTGCAATATTTCATCTGCATTCTGTCAAGGATTATAGGGGCAGAATCAAAGTACTCCCAGAACATCTCAATGATGTATTCAGTATCCCTGTGCCTCTAAATTTCATGGCAGCGAAATGTTATTCAGACATGAATATCAGTTTGGGGCTGGAGTTCGATGGCATCAGATGATTTAACAGCCAAGGCCAACCTCTCCTCAGATTGTTACCATTCATTTAACTACAAAAGGCAAACCTGATGAGAAAATGAGATGCGAAAGGCATCTTGTGTTTGCTATAAATGACCCTTTCTTTCAACCATAAATTTTGTGCGAGTAATCCCCCCCCCCCCAATTTCTCTTTCCCCCACTGCTAGCTTGAGGACAAAGGATTGCTCCGTGAAGAATGCCTTTCTGGGGGATTAAACAGCTTTTGTTGACAAAATACAAATTACAACTCCTTTACTGGGTGTCCCGCCTTCTCAGCTGGGGTCTGGCCTCTCAGGGACAAGTGCTATTATCTCTGCCTGGGTGAAGAGTCCAGGATGGGCAGATGTAATTATTAAAACCATTCCATGGGGGGGGGGGTGTCCTTCTGAGCTATCAATTAAGCACCTCACTATTTTCTTTGCGCTAAATGCTTCCTCCTGATGCCATTTAATCGTTGACAATGCACTTTTTATTTGAAGGACAGGGGACACGGCTGGCCCGTTCCTAGGAACCGGCCAGCAATCAAAGAAGTTTTTCCTTGTTGTAGGATTGGGGAACCTTTCATAATGGATTTGACTCAACGTCGGCTACAAGCTAGTCATATAGAAGTCAGAGGCTTCTATGCACATCTCTCCATTTAGGCAGGCAAAAGGCATATCACAGCTCGAGGACATGGTCCAGTCATGGATGGTGCGATGCAAGCAATAAAATAGTGCTGTGAGATTGTGGGCCTGGGCTGGACTGGAGCCACACAGGCTGCTTGAAGCATTTTTAACAGTCAGTGGCAGAGCAAACCAGGCACATTTTTCCTTAGGAACATCCACTGTAAGCTTCTTAGGATCCTTCTTCCTCACAAGATTTGGCCCAAAGTGGTTCCCAACAGATCACGTAAAAAGGTAAAGGGACCCCTGACCATTAGGTCCAGTCGTGGACGACTCAGGGGTTGCGGCGCTCATCTCGCTTTATTGGCCAAGGGAGCCGGCGTACAGCTGCCGGGTCATGTGGCCAGCATGACTAAGCCGCTTCTGGCGAACCAGAGCAGCACACGGAAACACCGTTTACCTTCCCGCTGGAGCGGTACCTATTTATCTACTTGCACTTTGACGTGCTTTCGAACTGCTAGTTTGGCAGGAGCAGGGACCGAGCAATGGGAGCTCACCCTGTCGTGGGGATTCAAACTGCTGACCTTCTGATCAGCAAGTCCTAGGCTCTGTGGTTTAACCCACAGCGCCACCAACGTCCCTAACAGATCACATAAACAGCAATAAATTTAAAAATTCAAAAACCACAACAGGGATCAATTATAAATAACCAGTGTCAATTAACCAAAGCATAGTACAGATATCACAGAATCCCAGAATTCTAGAGTTGGAAGGGACCACGGCAAAAGGTAAGGTAAAGGACACCTGGACCAGTAAAGTCCAGTCAAAGGCGACTATGGGGTTGTGGTGCTCATCTCGCTTTCAGGCCAATGGAGCTGGCATTTGTCCACAGAAAGCTTTCCGGCTCATGTGGCCAGCATGACTAAACCACTTCTGGAGCAACGGAACAGCATGACAGAAATCAGAGCACACGGAAATGCCATTTACCTTCCCGCTTATTTATCTACTTGCACTTTTTGGCGTGCTTTCGAACTGCTAGGTTGGCAGAAGCTGGGACAGAGCAATGGGAGCTCACCCCATCACGGGGATTTGAACCACCGACCTTCTGATCGGCAAGCCCAAGAGGTCTGTGGTCTAAACCACTGAGCCAGCCATGTCCCCTAGGAAGGGACCACGAGGATCACAACCCTGAGATTGAGAGACTCACGCTCTTACCAACTGAGCTATCCCAAATAAATAAATCAAAACCCAACAATTGAAAATTAAGTAGGGGAGGACCCTAACAAGTTGATGTCTCATTGAAAAACAGACAGACAGGCAGGCAATTCCAGAGTCAACACCTAGTGTGGAAACACCCCTTGATTTTCAGCAGTGGTTGTGGAAGAGCAGAGAAACAGCAGTGACAGCCTGCCCTTTTATTCTGCTCCTAACTCAATCCTGGCTTTCTGAGATGTAATGAAGGGAAGAGTTAAAACTTGACCATTTCCTTTTCCTTGCAATTTGTTCTCTTGTTGCCTTCTTCTGGTGGCTCCTGTCGCTTTAAAATTCGCCCAGCGTGAAAGATTCAAAGTGATCTTGATTGACTTGAATAACCCGTTATGACATACACTAGTTAAACTTTAAACAATTTTTTTTTCTGTGGTATGTCCGCCTGATGTTATCATTTCATATTTTACTCTGACTAAAATATTCGTATGTTCAGTGTTGCCCAGCCGGCCTATGCACAGGTTGAACATTTTTGCAGTTTCATTTCTGATATGTGCTCATAGCATTTACATAATATTTCAGACTGCGGCCCTGACTGTGAGACTGTGGTGTCTCAGTCTCATCACTATTTAGCACAGAGCTGCTTGCTGGCTGGCCAAAGTGAGGCAATGTCACAGAAACCTCTTTCTGTCATTCTGTTTAGTTCTTATTTCAACAAACCAACCTGAATTCTGTGGCAGGAAGAATAACACTCTAAACATGAGAGGCCTGTGTTACAGATCTGTCTGAACAATGAGCTACAATATTTGCATACTACATCCATGATGAAATCGCTGTTGAAATCAGCGGCAGACACAAACTTCACATAGATAACCTTTTCCTATATAGGCTGCTTATTTTTCTGATATAATTAGGGATGTGCAAATTGCACTGGACAGCTGTTATCATGAAACAGTGGCTATCAAAGACTGCTTTGCCACTGCACTTTCTTCAGACTGGTTTGGACAATTCAGTTGTATGAACAGAGCCAAAGTGCTAGCCTTGCTTCTGTCATCCGTGGGTGAATCTACACACAGGAAAACCCCCACTATAAATAAGTCATAAATTAAATCATTATAAGAAAGGGGGGGGGGACCCTATGTAAAACTGCGTAGAAAATTTGGTGCTCTACAGCGCCATCTGGTGTTGCAAGCTTATAATACATTTAAAACACTGGTTTTTTTGACTAATATACCTGAGTCCCATGTCTTTGACATGATCATACCTCTTAAGCCAACCCTGTCTCTCATGTCATACATGAATGTGCTGCTAGTGGGATCCAATTGCATGACCCAGGCAGGGGTGGCTAGATCACAACTTTAAACTAGTGTGCAAAGAATAGTTAAAACTTTGAGATATCACTGCTGAATTACAAGGGAGCCAGGATTGGCATGTTCATAAATAATGCTATTTATTCATCACATTTGCCGGATCCTTCAAAGAGCTCAGACTGGTCCATGTGGGACTAGCTCGTTTTATCTTTGAAACAGCTCTACACAGAGGTGGGGGTTAAACTTTGTGATTGGCCCAAGGCAATCTAGTGTGTTTCATGGCTGACTCTCAATCTGAACTTGGGCTTCTCTCGTCTAAATTCAGCACTCTAAACCTCTTCTCAGGGCTTTTTTTTCAGGGGAAAAAATGGTGGGGAACTCACCACGAAGTTTGTTTGTTTGTTGCAGGCCCAGTCATAGTGCCACAACCTGCCCCCAGGCAGTGGCTAAATGTAAGATGTGATTAATAAACTCAAGCAGACAATGATCTGGATTAGAAATGACCACAACTTGTAGGTCACAACATTATGATGGAAGATTGGGTTGAATTATGGAAAACTGACTTAAAATTTACAGATTGTTCCCTATTGAAGGAGAATTACATGAAGATGATGTACAGATGGTACACAACACCAGTGCAGTTAGGGAAAATGTACAAAACTAGTTCAAATATATGTTGGAAGTGTAAGGAAAAGGAGGGGACATTTTATCATATGTGGTGGGATTGTAAGGTAATTAAAAAATTTTGGGAAATGATATACAACGAATTGAAGAAAATGTTCCATTTAACATTTGTTTAAAAACCTGAGGCATTTTTGTTGGGGATTGTAGGGAAAGACCTGCCAAAAAATTTGAAAAACATCTTCATGTATGCGACAACGGCCATTAGAGTTCTGGTAGCACAAGGATGGAAGACTGAAGAAACCCCAACTAAAGAATTGTGGCAAGAAAAATTGATGGACTATGCTGGCAAAACTGACATATAAGCTACGGGACAAGGATAACTGTGACTTTAAGGATGAATGGGAACCCTTTACAAAGTATCTGAAGACGCAACAAAGTGAACTGGACTCCTTGGCAGGTTTTGAATAAACATTCACAAACTTTTTATTGATAATAATCAGCTAAATAGTTTGAGGATCTATACAACTTTGTAACATGCAGAAAACAGCATTCTTAGAGAAACCAAAGACTGGAACTGAGGGAAGTCGGGGGGTGGGGGTAGGTGGGTGGGTTTTGTGTGGGAGGGGGGAGGGAGGAAAAACGGGAGGGGGGTGAACAAGGATGATATGTTTTTGGATAATATGTCTTGTTATAATTTTGAATAATAAAAAAAAGAAATGACCACAACTTTATCGATCACAGATACAGGTGGGTTTTTGTCTCAGGCATTGGGTGTATATTTTTTCCAACAGCAACAAAATTATTAAATTTTCAAAAGGTAAGGAAACTCAGTTCCCCTGAGTTCCTGCTCAGAAAAACCCTGTGGCTTTTCTTCAAAACAAAACAAAACAAAAGCAGACAGAAGACGCATAAAGTGTATACCGTGGATATTTGCAAAAACAGCAGAAAGGACAACTATGAAAGCAAGATTAAGATTTCATAAACAGGGTACTGAGTTTCACACAACCTAACCAGAAAATGTTCCTTTGTAAACTGTAGTTCAATGTGGGGCAAGGTTCAGCTCAGAAGAGTGCCTGAAAGCCAGCTCATAAAGTCCCCCCCTTCTTTTGCCTCCTAGGCTCAGTGTAACAGCTCAAAGACTGGTGCCTCCAAGAGTTAAGGTCAGAAGAATTAAAAAATTATTTTCGAACATTCCAAGCGATGACAAATTGATTTAAGAAAGAGCATGTCTTGACAGTGGCTCTCTGCACAAGCTGTACGTGGCTCCCTGTCTCGAAAGTCCATTTAATCTCCCAACTTGACTGCAAATTGAAACATCACTTGGGGGTGGGGAGTGGGTGGGGACGGCCCTTTTCTTATTACAGGAATGTGCACTCTTTGGATTGCAGAGGTGAAATGCCCAACATCTGTCAACTGTAGGAGGGACAGTTCCCAAGGCAGTTTTGCCCATGAAGAATGCTGAATGGCAGACTGCAGCAGGCACTGCTAGCAGAACAGGACACACATTTTGCCAGGTGATAACTCTCCAGCCCAACATGCTCAGAGGCATAACTGAATACCTCTTTAAAAAACCCAAACAGAAATGTATAATAGTTGGCACTGTTTTTCATCTCCGCCAAGCTAAGCAGTTGGCTCCTTACCTCTCTCGCCCTGACCTAGCCACTGTGATCCACGCAACGGTCACCGCCAGACTGGATTATTGTAACCCGCTCTACGTGGGGCTGCCCTTGAGACTGACCCAGAAACTCCAGCGGGTGCAGAATGCCACGGCGAGACTCCTTACGGGGTCCTCGCTGCAAGATCACATTCACCCAGTGCTATACCAGCTGCACTGGCTCCCGGTGGAGTACAGGATCAGGTTTAAGGTGCTGGTTTGAACCTTTAAAGCCCTATACGGCCTAGGACCCTCGTACCTACGGGACCGCCTCTCCTGGTATGTCCCACAGAGGAACTTACAGTCTTCAAACAAAAACATCTTGAAGGTCCCAGGCCACAGGGAGGTTAGGCTGGCCTCAACCAGAGCCAGGGCTTTTTCAGCTGTAGCTCCGATCTGGTGGAACGCTCTGTCACAAGAGACTAGGGCCCTGCGGGACCTGACATCTTTCCGCAGGGCCTTCAAGACGGAGCTGTTCCACCAGGCCTTTGGCCAGGGCACAGTCTGACTCCCTCCTTTGGCAATCCTCACAGAACTCTAGCCCAATGGTTGCCATCAATTTGATTTGAATAATTTTATAATGAAATGATTTTAGAATGTTGTATTATTTTATTGTTAGTAGCTGCCCTGAGCCTGGCTTCAGCTGGGGAGGGCGGGATATAAATAAAATTTATTATTTATTTATTATTTATTATTAACGGAAGAATTCGAGGGCTCCCTTGGGCAAAAACCAAAGACACCAACCAGGACAATTTGGAGGAAAACAGCAGCCTGTAGGTTTGGCCTTTATCGGAAACTGTTGCGACAGGACTCCCACCCATAACAAGATGAAGCAAAATGGAAGCCCCGAACAGAAGAAGACCCCAACTTTTATTAGCTACTAATCCCCCAAGCTACACCCCTAGAACTACATCACAACTACATCATGACTACATCATTGACACATCACAAAAAGGAGGGGTTGAGGGAGGAGTTGAGTTGTGGAGGAAACCTGAGTATCTTGTCACCTGGCTGGTTCCTCCTTTCCCCCTCCCCATGAGTCATTTCCAGAGGACAAAAGGGAGTTGGCAGTTTCCTGCCCCCAGAGGGAAGATCTTATCATTGTCCTTTGTTCCAGACCATGTTGAATCCACTCCCATATGCAAGTCCGTTGTGTCTTCGATGGTCTTCTGTCTGCGACCATCAAGGTTGCCATGCCAACTGGGCAGGTCTCCTGAGTACGTGTTGGTACTGTTAAGGGATTATGGCCATCCTGTATCAAACCGTCCCCCTTTGATAGTCCTTCCTTCATGGAGCAAAATAAAAGTGGACCAGTGTAAATCCAATGTACGGTTGATTTACTATGAATTTATAACAGAAACATCGCGTATGTCGTGTGTGAGTGTGCGTGTGTGGGGTTTTTTTTTTTTTTGGCTAATCTTGATTTTAAAAAAGG